TCATTATATTATTAAAAGATTAAGTAATTCAATAATAATTAAAATAACTTTATATTAATTAAATATATAAATTCAAATAATATTTGGTTTTATTTATAAATAAAAATATATTGCTTTCTTATATTAATTAAGTTTTACATTTCATATATGTTTTAAAATAAATTTACATAAAATATATTTACAAATTAGTAAAATATTATTTTATAATCTTTTTGTAATTTTTAAGCATTAATTAAAATATTAATTAACAATTTCATACCAAAACAAATTTTGATGTTTCTTGTGTACTTAATGCTTCAGTGTTCGCAGGACTAGTGTTATCATTATTAACACCAATTCTACTTCTGCCTTTTTTTTTATTTGATTGTGGTGTGTTCATCTTCTTTCACGATTTGGCGTTTTATAAATAATAATGTACTTATATCATCCACACTTCAATTTAAAAATCTTTTCTTACGTATGTTTTTTATTTTAAACCATTCAGCTATGAATTCGCCTTGATAACATATATTAAAATTATATAAATTATATCTCTCATTTTTATGCCAATACAACTGTTATAAAATAATTGCATTAATTTGTATTTGAGGAAAAAAGGAACGCTCACAAATGTTTGAACAAGTAAACTAACCAATTTGAGCGGCAAACGTAATATGCACTGACATGTTAATGTAATAAAAGTACTTTGCATGTCAATTATAAACTATTTTTTCAAATATATAAATTTTCAATAGATTTATTTTAAAAAATTTTTTTGTATTAAATATACATTCATTTTTGTTTAAATATATTTCACAGAATTAATTAAATAAAGCTTAACTTAATAATTTATACTAGATTTACTATTTATGATATAGTTATAGCAATAGAAACTATCCTTTATAAACAAGTAATTTCAAACATGTATTATAACCTGATAATTAAAAGATAAAAATATTATTTTCTATTATTAATTTCTGATGAAAAAAATCATAATCTATAAAAGATTTTATATTATTTTATAGCAAAAATATCTAATTAAAATAATAATATTAATCAAAACAAATTTATGTCAACAAATTCATTATTTCATTTCAAGAAACTATAACTTTAATTAATATATATAATATATTAAATTTTAATATTATATTAATTCATTATAATCGTTTTAAAATACCAAATGTAAATTTTCATAAAATTAAAAAAGTTGTTTAGTATAGATTTTTATACCATTAAGCGATCATTTTCAAAACATGTTAATGGTGAATGGCGTCATCTGGTGACGAAAGAAATATACAAATTGAACTCAACGCAGTTTCCGTTTGAGCTTGCTAGTCCTGGTTTTGAATACTTTGTGCACAGAGTGGGAGAGGGTAAGAGATCTAACTTTACACCAGTCATTGGCAGTATTTGTTCCCGTGGCCGCAGCTTTGGTTCGTCTATCTCATAATTGAAAGTTTGGTGCAAAAACTAGTTTACTAGATAGACGATATTTGTGTTTTGTGAGTGTAGACCGCGAAATAGTAACTAAAACTAACTAGATTTGTAACTGAAGGAACTGATGTTCGGCTAAGAATTATGTCGGATATTGGTGCAGGATTACGATCGGTCACACGTCAAGTCAGCTGACATATTGCGCCCTGCTACACCGCAACAGCTCTTGGTAAGTGTCGCAATCACACTATTCGCTCATCAACGACGACTATTTTTATCGAATACCTGTGAAATACGTTCGCGTAACCATACGCTATTTTTTCGTCTGACCACGGTGAAATCTAGCTTGGTTCTTGATTCGTTCCATTCGCTTTGCATTCTTCTCTTAATCCTCTATCTTGGCGTTTCTCTTCATAAAAAGATGTCCGACGCAACGTAAAATACATGTTACATGGGACAAAGGAAACAACGCAATTTCTAATTAGGTGCGTATTCTCAAAAATGAGAATCATATATTTAATACTCATTCCATTTCTTCGTGCTTCTTGACTGCGTGTTGCGTGCGTAGATGCATGCGTATGACCGTGTATCTACACGATAGCAGCGCCGACGCGATTCAAGCGCAAATGCATACTTATACATTTTAACCTCCCCTGCCGCGATTTTCATACCCCCTTTCATGTATCCACATCCGCACTAGTCTTCTTTTAACCCTTCTTTTAACCCTTTGTATATTCCGTGTACTTCTAATAATTGTTATTCTTTTTTATTATATGTTAATCAGAGAATATAAGTATCAAATCGAATTTTCAAATATGTTTGTATCATTTTCAAATTAAAAATTCATTTTCTTTGCAATTTCAAATAAATTTAGATGGCGTTCTGAGGTTATGATTTTCTTCTTCTCTAAAATGTTTAAAATTCGTTAGAATATAATTAAATTTTTCAGAATTTTTATCTGTTGATAATCAAAATAATTCAAAAACTTTCATGATGCGTTTTAAATAAATTGAGGTTTGTTTCAAATTTATCACTATCTCTACAAGTGAATGTTGAGCAATCTAGCTATTCCTTTCTATATCGCGCCTGTAGTCAATTCGATATAACCTCTCGAAATATTAAGAAATAACTATAACTTTTATTTCGGAAAATCTATAGATGGCATTCATGAATCGAGATATAGAATCGAATATATATGATAGACAATAATACCAATGAAGACAAAAAGTTTATTATTTTATTGGTTGTCAATTTTTTATGAATTTTATGACAATTTAATTGCTCGCTAACGACATAAAATTAACATACTTACTTGAAATTTGATTTAAAAAAAAAAATTCTATTAGATAAATGTTGCAATAGAAATGATTAGCAGGTTGATGCTGTATGTCAATGTAGATTAACCTCACCCGAGCCACACCTCGCTTTCTTCCGCTGGTGATGAGTGATATTGTAAAATGGCTGCATGAAGAATTATAAGCAAAGTAATATCGTATGTGATAGCTTTCGTAGGAAAATTTCATCAATCGTCAGTATTAATTTGCGAGCACAGATGATCTTATTCCTGTATTTTTAATTATGAGAATTTCTTTTTTTAATAAATTTTTCACATGTTTTAAATTATAAATATAATTTTTTATAAAATATCATTTTCGATAGAATATGAGTCAGACGTTTATCATTTTCAACGGATGCGATTTAAAATCATCGACCATATACGTCGTACTTTAAAAGATATTCTTACCACGTGTCATTGGACTGTACAGTTGAATTTCATAAGAACAATAAGAGAATAGAATATAGTTGACTGACAACCAAAATACAATTGCAAGTACAATTTTAGATCGTCCTTACCTATCATCTTTTTTTGTTTTATTTTAATTGAATTTAATATTTTTATCTTAACGTTATTTAAGTTAAATTTAATAAAGATAACTTTTATAATTAAAATAAACTTTTAGAATATTTTATAATTTTTTTACATTTAGATTATTTCATAATTATATATTTATAAAGATTGGAGTCTATGACTAATATTTATTAATTTTAATCATTTCCATTAATCGATTCTCAATGCTTTTGAGATTAAATCAAGGTCAAATTCATGCTCTATAAAATTTTGTTTATATTTAGAAATCAATTAATTAAAATTATTATATTTATTTATTTTTAATATATAAAAATCAATTACATTTAATATAATAATATATATTATCGCATATTTTTATAAATAATCGATTATTTGTTATATATCATTGCACAACTTCGAATCAAGAAATATACTTATGTATTATCATATGTATATATTATGTAAATATATTTAATAAATTTAAATTGTTTAACAGTTGCTTTAGGATAAACAAGTAACTAAATCGTGTAAGTAAATCAACGTGATTTGTACAATGACGTGTATGGTGACTATTTGTTTTGAAGTAGTGGTAACGATTAGTAATTTTCATTGTTTCGATTTTCGAAGAATACATAAACATTTCTATTTCAAACAAAAATAAATGTAGATAAGTAAAACGGGAAATAAAAACCTATCATTATCTAAAAATGAGTCAAACATGGAGACAATCATATTTAAAATCGGAATTAAATATTATTTCTGAATGAGATTGGCATACCAAATTTGTGCGCATTTTAATGAATTAGCTAGTTACTTTCCGTTAGAAAGTGTTTCTATTTTATTTGCTCGTGTAAATAGAACTTTCATTAAAATCGATGTTTTTAATTGGTTATATCAATTATTGTCATTGACAATGTGATAAATATATTATGTTGGAATATTAGATCGAGAATGTTTTATACTAATTAAAAATAATGATTAATAATCTTTCAAAGCAATTCGTGTGAAATAAATATCTTAAAAAATTATTTATTAAGTTTATTTGAATTTTCGAGAAAAAATTTTATAATTATATAAAATTAAATATGTATAAGGTAATTTGAGTTTATAAAATTTTTATTTTAAAACATTTTTGTCTTGTAACTTCTGTGTTGAAAATTTTTATTTATTTTTATTTTTTTATTTTTTATTTTATTTATTTAAACAAAAAAATATATTTGTCTATAAAAAAGTATATAAACATTTGATTATTAAAAAAAATTAAAGATATAATCAAATGATATATTTTAAAGATATATGAATGTTTAAAAATGTTATTAAATAATTTTTCATCATGTTGTTTATAAAAATGAAATTTCTTGAATACTTATACATATATTAGATTTTGTTGTAAATAAATTAAATAAGTTGATAATTTTGATTTAAGAATTTTTCATGTCTTATATTATTGTATTTATTATTATTAAAAATTAAATATTTTTAAAAATAACTAATATTTGTTGATTTGAATGAATATTAAAATAATATAAATATTTAGAAATTTAAAAATTATTGATATTTAAGTATTTTAATATATAAAATACTTTTAATATATAAAAAATTTAAAGTAGTATTTTAAGTAGTTTATATTAGAGCGATTAGATATTTATTACGATTGCGATTAATATTAAAACTCAAAAAAATATTTTCAATTATATATATTATAATATTTTAATATACAAAAATTTATTTTTAAATTATTATTGTATTCAAATGTAAACAAAAATTTTTATTTGATTTTTGTTATTAGATTTTTTGTTATTAATCATTTTCATTTTATTAATTGATTTAACAATTTGCTAATTCATAATATTATCTCATATATTTTCTAATATATTGATAAATTTTTAAGTATTTAAATAATTTGGAATATAAAGAAATAAATTATATATCTGAATAAAGCAAAGTCACGTAACAAGGTTATCATATGTAGCAAAACACAAAAATAAAACATTTGCATTTAAACATTAAATATGACCAAATCGGAAATTTTTTTTTATATATCTTTTCTTCTTTACAAACTTCCTGATACATTTTTTTATATTTGATTTAACTTTCAATTATTATAGTGACGTCATGAATTCTGAAGAACTAACGGATTTTAGTTCTGTTTTTATACTTTTACTATAGAAAATTTTCATTGAAATACAATAAATTATATTTCAATATTTTTTACTAGGAATAAATGCATTCTTTCTATATTCCGTTAAACTAGAGCAACAGGTCGAATACTTTATATTTATAATTAATATATTAATATTTGATATTGAGATTTTTCTTTTAATTATTTGACAAAATAATCATGTTAATTTTATAATTAAAATATTAATTTTCATTTTGTTTTATTTATTTATACATACAATTTCTTTTTAAACATAGATATATGAAAGAAAATTTGTAAGTATATAGTAAAATTGAAAAAACACAAAAAAATGTAATTATCTCATCATTTAAATTTAATAGATAGTTAATATATTTCTTTATTAAGCATATTTATATAAATTATATAAATATAAATATAAATGAATTTTTTTCTGCTATTGAATTTATTAAATTAAAAATAAAATATCTTTGAAATTAAAGATATTGAAAATAAAATAATAAACTTTTTCTAATCTTTCACTTTATATTTGTCGGCATGTATTAAATAACATATAGTTTTAGTTACATTATATTATATAGATAATATCGAGAAATAACGCTACGACATCTACAGATTTGTTTGAGAAATATGTTAAACACATCATCACATAGTGTTCCTGACAAAAAATAGTATCAATGTATTCTATTCCATGGAAGTGCATATTAATTATGAATTGTCTATGAAGAATTGTGATTATTGTTAAACCATTTCAGAAAAAAATTGCAAAAGATTGAAAAAATTATGACGTAAAGAACGATCGTATGTACGCAAGCGCAGAATAAAGAGGAGAAATGAATGAGTCGTATATATATATTTGTATTTAAGTAAGAAAGAGAAAAATAGTGACGAAAATAAATGGCGGAAATTTAAGTTTTATCTAAATCATCAACTAAATTTTCTATTTATTCGTATTTTTTGCATATTTGAAGTGTATAAAGAAAAAAACAATAAAGCACTCGAATTTTTAAATTTCAAACATTTGTGTTGGATAAAAGGCGAGGTCTCGGTAAATTATGTTTCATAGTACCTAACCTTATCGTGCAAGTGTGCGCGCTGTGTCGTTGGTTGTACGTTCGCCCAGAGGCTGTACGTCCAAACGATCGCCATCATGAAAACATTCGACCCGTCGTGTCGTTATCGTTGTTTCTCCTCCGTCCTTGCAGGTTCCTCAGATTGAAGTAATATCGAGCGCTCGAGCGCGAAGTTGCATACAAAGAGCAAGAAAGAGAGAGAACGAGAAGGAAAGAAAGGAAGAGAGAAAGAGTTATTTGGTAACATTTCGTTTTAGTTGTGGAGAGAGAGAAGGGTCTTAAGAGACAAAGCGAACGCGCGCATCGAGAGTGGCCAAAGCGAGAATTGCGCCGCCGAGAATTACAAAGCACAAGTCAGAAGGGAAGAGAGCTCCCCCGACCGACGGTCGACTATCGGTCGTAACTGCACGTCATCTAACGTGTCTTAACACGATAAGGATAGACGAAGAACCTACTTAAATGCCTCGAACGAATTCTTACTCCATGTTGTGCGTTGGTTGCGACACGACTGCGTGTTGGAAAGTGAGTAATATCACGTTTCCCTTGATCACGCCTCTTCCATTTGGATTTTATTGCGAATACGAAAATCAGACAATAATGACAATGCGTTAAAAATTCCAACCTTTTAATCCTTTTTCTTTTCCTTTATTTTTTTCTATTATTCATCATCGTCAATTGTTTGCTTTTCGTTGTCCAATTTCTCGGTTTTATTTGCCCTTGGAGGAATTATATATACTCTCTCTTTCTCTCCTTTTCTCCTTCTCAAGATAAAACTGTTCTGCACGAGGGAACGGCCCTTGTCTCAAGATATCGTTGTTGCTTTGCTGCTGACGATTTCTCTATTCTATGTATAGACTCCGTTGTGTATATATATATATA